AGTTGTAGATCAAACGGCAATAAACAGACAGGATGAGCCCCAATCACAATGTTTGTATAATCCAGTAGTGTATAATCATGATAACCATTAATCCAATATACTTCTGCAATATATCTTTAAATCGCACAATTGGGATAACGGGCATTGTCCAACTCTTGATAGAGTAACATTGTAATCATTGGAATGGAAAGTCAACATCGAAATATCATCCCCAAATCCCGACGTCCGGAGAAGATGCCTCAAACTTCATTTATATTTAAAACGGTTCAGTTTTAACGACTACACTAGTTACCCCCTTTTCCCCAGCTAGCTGAACACACACATTCGGCCGATGTATAAAACCACGATAAAACTTAAATTCCAACACGTTCACTCGTGCACTTTTCGTCTGCGGCGTAGTCTTGCGTTCATAGTCGCGTACATAATAGAGATGAAATCGAACCGCCTTTGCATTTAATTTCATTGATACAAACCCCTTAAAATATCACAGTAATTGAGAAAACATAGAATATCACTAACATCAATAAAAAATTACCGATGTGCTCACAAATCTTTATATTGAAGTCACTTATTTACAACATTGCAGCATTTGGTGAGACTATGCTCGGCTCGTTACTAAGGACGCTCAATACCGCGGCGCGCCATTTTGTATGTTGTGGTTTTGGGTGTGGAACCATAGCCGTATTCTCTGAAGAGAGCAAAGATTGTAGATCCCAAGCTTTAACGGCATACGATATGGGCTGTGAATTAAGAAGTTTGCAAATTCTATCTACCTTTTTTTAAAGAAATGTGAATTACATGTTGTTAAGTGTACCTTTCTGGGCTTAGAATCAAATGGCACTTAAAAGTTTAAAAGTTTGCTAGGATAGACGTTTGCTTTTCAGCTCTCAAAATCGCATTGACAAGTTGACGATCGTTTCTTTTATATAGAACCCACCCTGTTAAATGAATGTTACCATGTGACGTCATGACATAAATTGTTTCTATACATTGCCAAAGAACAGGTTTACATGGATAAATGACTCTTTTCTTGTTACATATTTTTTGCATCATCGCTCTTTCGCTTTCCTTTCAACTACTAGTATAGAACCCCCGGGCCACAAAAGTAAAGGGAATGTTCACACATCGTAGTGGTATTGGTGTTGGAGGGGGGGGGGGGGGGGGGGCGGTGAGCTGAGGTTCGAGGTAGGAAGAACTTTTTTCGAAATCGAAAGTACAGGAACGTGTGTCCATTGAAACGATAGGCTGACAAAACATTTCCTGTGTCATAAACGTGCAATTAGGGTGGACATTTGATTATGGTCAAGCAGTTGATATCCCCTTTTCCAGACTGCTCTCGAACCGTTTCAAATGTACTTTTAATGAAGCACAAATTACCATGGTGAAAGGGTTAGGCGCCTCCGCTGCGCTTCTACAAACACGCCCATTAATAACAGGACTTGGTTTGGGCATGGTATTTCCATGGTTTGGGAAACGGAATAATCAGGATTGTCCAATCTTTGAGTTGTAGGTCTACGCCCCCCTCCCGTTTTCTATATGCTTTCAGACTGGAAGTTCCCCCTTCCCCTTCTCTATCTCTTTCACATTCTCTCTATCCTCGTATTACCAGGCTGTATCTCAACTTAATGTAACTTAATTTTGTTCATCATTAATATGATACATGTGCAGTAGGAATATATAGGCTATTGGTAGTATATAGCAAATATATTACAAACTTTACTCCATTAAGAAAAATATATATATATATATATATATATATAAATATATATATATATATATATGTATATGATTTTCTAGCCGAAATATTGAAGTGCCTCTGCTGGAAGGGGGGGGGGGCTATAAATTCAGGCCATGTGTGTACCAGTGTATCGAACCCTGAACCTTCACACACCCAGATTAATTGTTGCCATATGAACCTCTGTATAGAGGTTATGAAACATATCTAAAAACACATTATTTTGATTAGTAAAAATAAACATATCGCAGTGCTATTCTCGACGCCTGTAATATCAATATCTGACAAAACAAATCAAAACGGGCTTATAGATCAATTAATGACCATTGTATTATCTTTCACATATTGTTTGTCTCTCGACAAAGTCTCAAGAAATGAATTAAAGCCGGATGTGCTATATTTTTCTTCCTCATTCTGTTGAGTATTGAGACAAATAAATAGACCTACATTTCCCTCCGGCCGCAAAGAATATATGCAATTTCAACAAATTTGATCAAAGTTTCTACGACATATCCCGACCTTTTTCCACGTCACACGTCAAATTAAGTCACCAAAATTCAACCTGTCCACAGCAAACAAAATTTGCGATCGCACAGTTTTCGTTAAAATTTTTCAATTCACAAGCAATTTTTTTCCTTGATTTTTTATGATTATTTTTTTCGCTAATGAAGGACAAAATGACGTGATCTATAGGCCTGGTTGTGTGTGTATGTACGTGGCGATGGAGTGTGCGCCCCTCGAGTTTTTATAAATAGTAACTTCTGCCTAGCACCAACCAGAGTCGAGGGAGAGACGATTGTATAGAGTAGCGCTTGCATGCATTTTGTACGAGTGACGACACAGCCGCCGTCCACAAACTCATGTTTTATGCATGAATTCCGGGGAGCGCCGATCATTGGTTTAACGTTCGCGGGCTTGGCGCGCCGTGATCACCACTGTTGCCTAGGCCAAATCAATTGATAAACTTTCCTCTTTTATATGTGTATTTAATAGTAGTTTGATGATATCATGTCAATTAATCTGAAGATAGTCGAAATGCTAACTATTTAATCTTATTTTGAAGCCTTTAACCATATCTTCTACGAATACAAGTCATGTTTTGATAAATTAAAACTGCATAGCGAAATAGCAGCGATATGCATTTCAACGCCATTCAGTTTTTCCCAGGTTCCTGGCTATGATTATATGAATGACAATTCTTCAGAAGGCCCGCCTACAAAATCGTCGCGGGAAAACTATTAGAATAGTGGGAGGTTTAATTTTCCTACCTAATTTTGTACTAATTTGTTTGTGTACAATAAAACATGCAAAGATTAAAAGAATTGAAACGTATGAGATAATAGATATAATAATAATATTAAAAAGTATGATATAGTTCTTCAGTGTATTCTACTCATACACTTTTAAAAATTATATTAAATGATGTATAAAGTTGATATGTCTTTTGAAATTAAGTTAATAAATGCGCACAGTCCTCCCAATATTGAATACACAAATGAACAAAGGTACGAATTTGTTATTTATAATTCGATTGAGAAAGATAATGAAAAGGTTGAAAAAGATTATTCTCTGACCACAATTTTTGTTAGAGAAAAGGTAAAAAGCATGAATCCATGATTATTAATTTTGTGTAAGGAAAATGAAACGTGTAGAAAAATGGGCAATATCCTATCGATTAATATTGCTCATATATCATTATTTCATATTCGATCCTTTTACAATAAATTCATTTATTAGAAACGAATGTATCCGTGTGTTGTGAAATGAGCACTGTATCCGTGTATTTTGCAATGAAAAGGCAGTAAAAAAAAAAATCCCAATATTTTTATTCGCCAGTGAGTTTTAATCATAAACTGGGGAACTTTATCACCTTTATATATATCATTACTATATACGACAAAATCAATTACCAATTATTCAATTAATAACGAGCTCTCGACCTTCCATGGTATATTAACTTTGGCAGCGCAGGAAACGCAGCTAAGGGGTCTTGCTTTTGTAGACTAAATTATCTCGCCATGGGCAGAGTTTTTTCATTGTACGCTACGCTACATGTTAGCACGATCAAGGAAGTTATGTCTCGCTTATGTACACTGTCTACGGGAGAGAGCAATACCTATAGAGTTAACGGCCATTCACTTTGTACACGTGTGTATGTTGTGTATGGGGCTAGGCTGCCGCGGTCGATGTATACAGTAGTGCAGTGAGCTATGCATGCATTGGAGTGAGATACTTCACTATAGCTGTGCACACAGTAAATTACATAGAGTAGTGCGTGGAGTCAAGTTGTATGCAGCTAGCTAGTTTGCTGGAAAATATTTCAAAAATCATAAAATCGCTCATACATAGCCAAAAGTGATAATCCAACCATTCATCATGTTCAGAAAAATATGATCTTTCCAATGAACTGATTTATTTTCAAAAATTTCACGATTATTTTTTTTTCGTGCATAGGCCTATACGCCTATTGTCATATTGAGTGTGTACTAAATATTTCTGGGCTAATACTAGAATAATTGATATAACTATTGAGAAGTGATACATTGAAAAGGAAGCCGTTCATGATAATGCAAAAAGGTTAGAGATACATATTATAAGTTTTCAACCTTTTATCCTTCATGATCTGTCTATCGTCATATGGACTGAACATGAAGCGTGTAATGATTTAGAATATATATTAATTATAGCCAGTAATGATAAAGTGGTGCTGGAATGATTTGTTAGGGATTTTGGGGAAGTTCTTGTTTCCGAAATTATTGGCAACCATAAGCGCTGGACACTTACATTTGACCATGGCCGCCCCAGCACTTCGGCCATTCCTAAACTAGTTGACCATTCAAAGCTAAACATTCCATCGAAAGATATAACCGGCCCTAGCCAGTTTTCCACTACACACGTGAATACACCAGACCATATTACAAGGGACCGACAAGAGACTAGCTTGACCCAAATACTACCCCACCCCCTCTTCTTCTTAAACTTCTCTCCCCCCCCCCCCCGACTCCACCCTAGAAGGCGGAGCCTGGGTTGAAAGAAAAGACAGAGAGAGAGGGAGAGAGATAGATAGAATGAAGGAGAGAGCTTAGTGTGTGGTATATTACATGTAGCTCAGTGATATAGTACGGTACTAAAATATATAGGCCAAGCTTTTGACCAATCAAATGGTAGCACGGTCTGATCTTATGCATATTCAACAACCACTAGTTGCCGGTCGAATGTACACGTTTTACACGTTGAAGCAATGTGTGCATCACAAGCATGCGTTGTGAAGGAAATATCAAAGCATTCGGCAAAGGGACAGCACCGAATACGTACAGGCCTAACAGACAATCCCAGAACGAACGAGAAAAGTTTTGGAGTTTGGGTTCATATTAGTGGTGATTTTACCCGTTTTCGCCAATATTCTGATCTCCAATCTCCACTGGGTTTGTAGGTTCTGGTCGTCTGCTGTTCCCCTTGTGTCAAGTCACCAAAACTATCCCATTTTCCCACCCCTTTTTCACCTTGGAAGTTAAAAAAGAACAGAAATAAATAACCCATTCCAAAGTAAAGTTCAACTTCTTCGCCTGTCTGCAAACGAGCTCGAAGTCGAAGGAACTTCTTGGTGGAACGTCTTCTATCAATCATGGATAATTTGTTGTGCTTTGAGCAAGAGTATTTCGACCATGCCAAATCGCCAATGTCATACGTGGACCAAGTTTTATTGCGAGATAAAAATCTGGACAATTTACTAGCAGTGGAAGAGCAATATGTATTGTCGGCGGACTATTTTGGCAACCACTTCCAGCGAGAATTGAGACCTTCCATGAGAAAGCTAGTCGTGGATTGGATGTTCGAAGTAAGTATTTTTCACTTTTCTCGGTTTCAAAATCAAATAATTTGTATCTCAATCGCTAGAATACATCCTTAGCTTTATTTTGACGTGTGATTTGTTCCTATTTTCTTCTTTTTTCTATTTTTGTCTGAATTTGAATGAAATCGCAAATTTCCAGGAACAACCTGTTGACGTTTTGACCGCAACATGTCTCAGTTTGACTCAAGTTTTCTCCTAAATTTTGGAATGAAGAGGCTTGTGAAGCATATCATTAACTAGAATAGATCTTTGGAATTATTTTGATATATATTTTGTCTTGTTTCCATGATTTTTCTTTTTTTGCTGATTAAAGTAAACATTTCATCTTTATTTCATAAAGCGGGGCCGCGCGTGACGCGCCGTGGTTTTGCTCGTCATGAGACTCGGAATTATTCATAATTTCATTGATCTCGCCTTCGGCTTCTTGTGCTAGGCCTATATTGATGTCATTCTAAAAATAATATTAACATTTGAATGTCATGTTTCTATCATTTTATAATTGTTGACATGATTTGCCATGCAAAAAATATGTCGTCGTCATGTGCACTCTCTTTGTTGTAGATTTTTACATCAAACCGATTTGTATGGTGCCGAAAGACATCGAATCTATCGCTTTTCAAAGAAAGTAATTGAAAATCTGTCCATATAAAAAGTTAGAGAATATATTCTTCTTCCATTTGGTATTAAATTTGTCATATGTCGCGCCGTCAATTAAATTTTTCGAATTTAACACGAATTTATGACAAGTCGACTTCTGAGAACGCAAGTCGCTTCCTCTCCATTCAGGCATGTGTGATCGAGACGCAAAACTGCCAAGCCGTTTTTGCAACCTCCCTAGAAAATATAAATTTAACAATTTTCCTATCCCTCTTTTGAAAATGTATTCATATGAAATCAAAGCATAGGCATTAGGCTTTCGAGCCATGCTATAAAAAATTACAACATGTGCCGGGTTTTATTTATTTCGAATTAATTTACTCGTGTTTCAAGAAAAGTTCGTGTTGGTTTTGTCATGTAGTTTGCGCGAGCGAACATGCGTTGTGCAGCGTGTATGCACGGACAGACACATCGAGGCGAGCGCTAGCCCGTGTGTGCAGTATGACATTACCGTATTGTACAGCAGACTTGACCGAGCCTGATGTATGAATTCTACATTGCATTGGTCTTTTTCTGGCGCGCGCTTTTTACTTTTTCGGGGTAAATAACTGGAACCTGGATTGCGCAGGATATCGGGCGGTAGATCGAGATCTATTTGCATTTCATATTCATCAAATCTGAGAAATTATAATCATTATTAAGTCCGATCTTGTTTGGAATCGTCATCATTTATGTCAGAATCTCATTTTCTATAGGCCTATTTTGTATTTTTGTAAATCGACCATTCTTCATTTGATAGATGTTTCTCACGGATACAAATCCATCATCATTCAATCATATTGACTCAACTGTTTCTTCAAAAACTTAGATCGGGGAAGTCCATTGTTTGGTTTGGATTTTGTAAACAGATCGTATGTCTTCTCTTTTGTAGAATGATATTAAAATAAAATTGTCAGTGCATCCTTGTTCGTAATTTTAATCATCTACAATTTTTACAACAGATATTTTAGTCAGTCGTGGGCTCATATAAAAACATTCATAAACAGGACATGGCAAAGCTGGAGATATTATCGTCCTCCGCACTTTGAAAAATATAATAGACCAAAGCTAAAGCCGAAGGGGGAAATTGCATTTATTTAATAATTAGTTTTATAAATATGTAGGCCAAAGTTTAAGGCCAGATTTAGATATATTACAGACCTCTATGATCTTATCAGACCTTCTTGTCTTCCTACCATGAAATTTGAAGATTTTTTTCGAAGGCAATTTAGCAATATTCTCATCATTTTTAAAAGACGTTTTGTTGCCCCTTCTGTTGGGGTTTGTTTCACATTTATATTGTCTTTCACTTCATATGTCTTTTCTTCTTCCTTCCTCTGTCATGTCCGCTGGGTATTATTGAAAATTATGATATTTATGATCATCTGCAGTTCATTAAAATATTTGTTTTTCTTTTTGTTTGTTTTCTGCAGGTTTGCGAGGAGCAACAACGAGAAGAAGATGTGTTCCCACTTTCAGTCAATTACCTGGACAGATTCCTATCCATAGAGAGAATATCTAGAGACAAATTCCAGCTCTTGGGCGCCACTTGTATGTTTCTGGCCTCCAAACTTCTAGAAACGATCCCCCTCACGTCGGAAAAACTAATCATCTATACAGACAATAGTATCACATTGGAGCAACTACTCGTAAGTATTTCCATTTTTGGGTGCTTTTTATGCTGATGATTTTTGAGCGATCAATTTTCAGGCATTAAGTATTTTTAAATGGAAATATTAAACCGAATATGAGTTTGAGTTCTGAGGTAAAAACACGCGAGACGACATGAATCGTGAGGCCAGGCCTTCTTTTCTAATTTCAGTGAGCGGCAGAGTTGTTAGAAAGTTACGGAAACGGGGTGTTTTCAGGAAGAAAGCTCCCGTGAATGAAAAAAAAAAAGCATTTTTACACTTTGGTGTTTTGATGGTATCGGAAGTGTTTGAGAATGAATACAGTCGATATTTTCTGTCAATGGAGTCGAAAGAAAAATCCGCTGTAAACATTCTCATGCATTTTTGATGAAGATGTGTTTTGAAGTTGGATTATATTTCATGGATATTTTATTAATCATCAATTTATCAGGTAAGTTTTTGTTTATTTATTCGTTTAGGTTTCAATTTTCTTTATTGAGTGGACAATTTCTATGCCCTGTTGAAAAGGAAAAAATAGGTTTTTAGCGCGCCGCGTTTCCGTCGCTTATCATGTGTCCATTGTTTATGTGTGTGTGTGTGTGTACACTTTGTCTGTGTGTATCATCGTTGACCAATTACACTCAATAATGACGGCGCGCATACTTTACGATGTGCGTGACTGGTTAGTCTGTGCTTTGTGTAACGCGGTGATTGGCTGAAATTAACATTTTGCCCAGGGGCGCGCCAAATATAAAACTTTCGGCGCGCGCTGGAAGTACTCATTTCCACATTGTATTACATTTTATGCAGGGCGCAGTTCACCTCAAAAAAAGTACAGCTTTGTTTACATTATCTCGTCGGGGCTTTTGTACAAAATGTAGTTGCTATTGTGTTGAATATTTTTCCAATCATTATTTTGCACTCTCCCGCACCTATATGCAGTGAAGTGATAAAAATTTGTACTGCTTAGACTTGTAATTTAACTAATAATTTGTAAAAGATGTTCAAGAATCTAGATTTTTTTTTTTTTTTTTTTTTTTTTTTTTTTTAGGGGCGGGGGGTGAAGTTCTACTTTTCTTCTTTTTTTTGTAGGTAGATTATTTCTCCCTTTTTTTCTCTCTGTGTAAAATATTTAACTCTTCTGTTCATGTTGTGTAGATAAGAATTAGTTTGGCTAATGGACTTCATTTACATGCAAACCTATTTTTATTTGAGGGGGGGGGGGGGAGCTGTCTCGATTCAGTTAGCACTTTGTCCATCCTTGGCAACTCGTAACAGTTCTGCGATTTCCTATCATCGATGATAGAGGGACTAAATAAAACCTGGACAGAGATGGAGAGAAAGAAGAAAAAAAACCTCTGTAGGGACAACTCCTTTTGAAATGGTATGGGTCATCAGGGCATCCAAATGAATGGCTTCCCTTTGTAAAGTTTGGGGAAGAATGAGAAGCGATTGATTGAAGCATTGATTAGGTAGAGACAGAGAGCATGGGAAAATTGTCCTGGGCCTTTTGTCATCCCCCAAAGAGTCCTGTGCCTGTGTGTGGGAAGATGAGACCGGGGGAGATGGGATATAATGAAGAGAAAAATCAATAGGCTTCATGGGGAGAATGTTCAAAGGATTAAAAGTACATTTTCTAAGCTCTGGGGTATTTTAATTTCCACAGCCACATTCCTTCGTCGAAGGGGAACATGACCTGGTATGTGATACAAAAATACTCTGGATTAGTAAGAACCACAGTTTAAGTTAACACTCGGCTTTATTGTTCTTAATTTGACATCCAAGTTAAACTATTCACCCCATTTATATATTTTTTTATCAAAATTTTATTTTTCAGTTTTTGTAGTCTAGTAGCATGGGATTTATCATAAGCCCAGCCACCTTTTCACTCCACCACAGTCAGCTATACTGTTGAGAGCCAGAAGGGTTTTAACTCTTATACTTTTACCTCGCGTTAACGCCCTCCTGTTTCTCATCTTGTAGCGCCATATCCAGTTTCTCTGCTCTGCTGAAGAGTTATGAGAACAAAGAGACTGGTTTGTCGTTTCTAAGAAAGAAGTGCTCTAGTGATCTTGTCTCATTTGCATAGTTTCAATAGCTTCAGGATCTTCCTACATCGAATTTAGGCTTAGTTGTTGATCAAGCAACTTGGGGATTGAACTTTAAAATCATCATGACAAACTAGTTTCTATAAGGGGGGGGGGGCAGTATGTTGGCCAATTTTGATTAAGACTATTGTTCTGAACTTCTGTTGGGTTTTATCTTTCCAAGGAGAGAAACTGAGTCCTACTCTGTTTTGTCTCTAATCCCTGAACAATGGATTTGAAAAGAAGATTAAGGGCTCAACTCTGGGGTCTTTATTGGATATGTGTGAACTTGATGGCTCTAAGCCCTCAATAGCCTAGGTGTCATACTCACAAGTGGAACAAACTAGTTTTATTCAAAGCTTTCAGAGTCTTAGGGAGCTTCCTGCCTGGTTCAAGCTTCCCACAGCAGACTTGCCAATAAATTAATGTTCCAATCTCCTGGCTAATTTTCAGAGGTCCAAAACAAAAGATGGGATTACACTTTATTGTTAGTGTTGTTGCTCAGGATATCACAAGTCGTTGTCAACATTGAGTCGAACAACAAATATTTAAATTTGGTTTGGTTTACAAATGACATGACCCTGAATAGTTATGTAAGGAAGTATTTTACTATTTCATTTATTGCCGTGTTCATAATAATAATTGAGCTATAAATAAGTTCTGCAGTGCGTAGAAATCAATTTTTTGATATATCACAAGCAATATTAAATTTAAATTATATAGTTTCCCACTTATTATGTACATTGTAGCTCCTATTAATATTCCTAAGTTATTCTTTAAAACTCTTATTTAACTTGGACTGGAATTGAAGAGGAAGATCACAATAGAAAGCTGACCAGGAAGTGCATAATATATGCAAGTTACAGTATCAGGCTGAACAGCTGCAGAAGCTGTAAACTCTGGAGAGAATGGGGCGGTTTTTCTCTTTTCTTGACTCTTATACATGTTTCTGACAGCACTGCTTTCCTCCGCCCCTACCAGTAAATTTCAAAAAGAGCTCAACTTAGCATTATGTTTCATCTACAGGTCAGACGGAGTTGTCATAGTTAACTCTTATAAAACAAGGATTTTTTTTCTAAAATAGGAAAAAGCGTATCAGTGACACCATCGTCCTTGCAAAAACAAGGTCAAGCAAAGTATACTGCAGATCAGTTTGTTGTGGGTGTTATAAGTTCTTACTAAGTTATGATATCTTTTTGCCATAAATAATTTAATTTGCCACACTAGGAAATAGAAGCGACTTTTTAGATTTAATCAGCTTCAATAAAAATGACATAGAATTTATATTTATAAATGTCACTTTGCATTTGCAGTATGCATGTCTTCAAAGAAAGGAAAATTTGTTTCATAGTTACTATTAGAATGGAATATATTTAATGAAAATCATCATTCATTTAAAGTGCATTTTTGAAGTTGGTCTTTAATCTTTTCTCACATGTATTCAATTCAAGCGATTATCGTATCGATACCTTTAACGTCGAAACAGGATGTGGCATTTGATAATTAGCCTACGAGTGTGAAATATGAACTTCGGTCATTCCTTCTTTCATTTAACGAGACAGACGATTTATGAATGAGCCGGTTCATTTACTTGAGAAATAATTTCACTGGGATCTCAAGATAGATACTTTATTTGATTATTTTTAAGCAGTGACAAGTATGAAAATACAAACTGCATGGCCTCTGCTTTCATAGTTTTTACTCTTTAAACATATACCGGTAGAAAATAAACAGAACCAATTTTTAGTTTAGCAATTTACTGGTTTCGTTTTATTCATAATTTAGTCTCAGCCGGGCCCAGACACCAAATACAAAGTGCAAAAGCTTTTCTTTCACTTAAACAAAAACAGGACTTGATTGAGAGTTGATCGAGGAGGGATTCCGGATGTGATAGGATCCTTGTTATGTTTCAATTGATGTTAATTATTTCCCCTTTCTTGTTCTTAATCCTCCTCTCAGTGTGCGTTAAAAAAAGTCACATGGATGAGAGGGGATTCTCGTTCAGTGAGTATTTGTCAGAAATTGGAGATTGTGAAATGTTTGCTGGTGGTACTCTATGGACAGTTTAGCCTGCAAGAGGGCAACGATTACATAAGCGTGTTTCCTCATTTAAAAACACTCAAAGTGAACATTACATAGATCATGTGATGAATTCACACCTATTTTTTTAAGCACATGTAGGGCCTGTTCGACCAAGAAAATATGTGGGGAAAATGCATTTACTATAGCTATAACACAAAAATCTTATCCAATATGAAATGAACAAAAACACCACCCATTGTAGTGAAGGTTTCTGTTATTTATGTTCAATCGTGACTGCAATTTTAGATTTTCACAATTTTGTTGTAAATTTTAATAAATTCAATACAAAGTTTAATAATCAGAGTTCTTTTACCAAACTGCCAGAGATGAAATGATCTGTGAAGAGTCAGTAGGGTATTCATTCTGTGAGTAGTTCATCAGGCGTATCTGGCTCTGAACTGATTATTTCCCCCTCATGTTATTTTAGGAGTGTCATTGACTTGTGATAGAGATGAATGTGGTCACTCATGATCTACTTGGGTTTCATGCGGTCTGAGAAGACCGATGAAAATCCTGAAAAGGGCATTTGGTCTTCGCTAGCAAAAATGAAACAGGATCTAGGTTTTAATTTTGACAAAAGTGACACTATTCATGTTAAGTGTTTCCTTTTCTTTAGTCTTGATGTGCAAGTAGAGATAAAGGATTTGATACCGAATGTGTGGTCAAATTATCTTGATAAAAAAAAAGCGGTCTTGTTCTTTTGTTTCCCTCTTCGCACATTCGACCACAGAGTATGTAAATTGGACACTTCCATGCATGAGGATCATGTCTCTTCAGAGCAAAAATGGCGTTGGATCTGTGTTGAAAGTATATGGTTTGCCGGTAAAGACTTTCTGGCACCAAAGAGTTAATTTATTTCATTTCCTTCATCAAACTAACTGTATAATGTGCTCTTATCACAAGATCTGAATATTATGCATTAATATTTTAAGGTGGGAGGCTTTGTGTGTGTGTGTGTGTGTGTGGGGGGGGGGGGGTTGTGGGTACAGTTAGGTACTAAGGTTATATTATACACCATGCCCTTTTTTTTTATTAAATGGTATTATGCACATGATTGATTAACCCTTTCAATGATTTCGGAGCAGACAATGTTTTAATAAAAAAATTGATGGTAGTGAAACAGTGCTCAGGCGCTGCACATCATCGTATGATGGATATCGTCCAATAAGGAGCATACCAGTACTTGTAGGTTACCGTTTCTTAGAAAAGACCCTTTTAGAATTATCAGGAATGTGTTTGGAAAGTAATTTTAGATTTTCATCATCAACAACTTTAAGATGTCATTAGTAATTGACTATAACTTGGCTAGCCAGATTGTAAAGGAGAAGTAATATGTCATAATCTTACAATAAAAAAAACATGTCTGTTAGTTGCAACTTGCAAGTGTACTTTCTGTATTTGCATCATGTAAGATCTACCATAAAAATAGTTCAGCTCCCTAACATGGTCCAATTTTGTATAAAGTTCAAAATGTGCGAAATACAATATTATTTGATGTACTCCATGTTTCTTCATTCTCTTAAGCATACCCTAGATGGCGCTGTTTACAAAGTATTAACCTGAATGCTATTGTTTTTGTCTTCCTTTGTTTTTCTTCCCAATTCACAGAAATTTGAACAGCTAGTACTAACCAAGTTAAAATGGGACCTTATGGCAATCACCCCCAACGCATTTCTTGAGCACATTTTCCACCGGCTTCCCGTCGATAAGGAGCAGGCAGCGTTGCTAAGGAAACACGCCCAAACCTTCATCGTGCTGTGCGCGACAGGTAAGCCAAACCCGTCCTCTATAATTAAGCCAATGTATTATGAATTGTCTATAAATAATACTTGATGTCTGTTTTAAATGATGATTAATTGATTTAACTAAGTTGGGCATCACTTTACTTTACAAGACTCTAAATTGCTGAAGATCAATTAACAAATTGGTACGAAACATGCACATATTGGAAATGATAACCGGACCTAGTGTTGTCCCTCCTGCCCCAAGCATTTCTTCTCATATCTTTCTTTCTCTGCTGCTTAAAAGTTTTTTTTCATCTCTCTCTCCTTCTCCTCTTTCTATCTCCATTCTATCTCTGCCCCCTCTCTCTCTCTCTCTCTCTGTTCCCTCCTCTCTCTCTCCCCCTTTTCCTCGCTTTCTCCTCTCTTCCATACCATGCTTCTCCCTGTATGGGAATGACCCTACCAGTAGTTCATCAAGGTGCTGTAAGTTAGTCTTAGAGGTCAAGTATGCGAGCTAGGACCCTTTCTTATATCCTATCTCCCATGCTGGGTAACCATGCCTGACAGCTTGATGGGAATATCAGATCAACCGCCGTTTCCTGCTGCACTCGGAAAGAGAAGGTCTCTTTCTCTCTGTTTTTTTTTTTTTTTTTTTTACTAGGGACCTCCTTGCGTCTCAGTTAAAAACTTCCTTGTTCTGGCTTTGCCATTGGAGGCTGGCAGAGTCTGGGAACTGGATGGGATCTGGGGGAAGAAGGCGTCGTCATTATCAAAGACATAGCCTGTTTCATGATTGAGATCTCGAGGAAAGATTAGAGCCCGAGCCTGGTTATGTGAGAGCTTCAAGTCTTGCTTTTGAAAACAGGTGGTTTTGTAATGTTTGACCAAACGGCGAAAACTTGGCCTTTGTTAATCGTTCTATGTTTTTAACCATTCTTTTTAAAATTTGTGCAAGAGTCTGTGATCTTGAGCAATCAAATTATTACTCCCATTTCTGTTTTGGAAGATAAGTCCGTAAATAGGGGTGTGAATGCTGGGACAACAGGACAACCACAGGCAACCGGCACCCTTTAATATTATGTTGTATGTCCTTTAACAATCCCACCGTCCGGGCTTCACCAGACACAAAGCATGCTGGGAAGGTAATTGCCAAGGCGACAGTCAGCTCAGGGGACAATGTCCGCCTCTGGAATTTCCACCTACTTGAGCAAGAATCAGGATGAGGATGTCAGCAATGGAAGAGGAGGAGGAGGAGGGGAAACGAGGGGTGGGAATCTTCCAAAGCCTCCAGACATTACTCCTGTCCTTTATCACCCCTGTAAGCTCATCGTTGAAGGTTCAAACCCTGCTAACAACAAAGACACGTCTGTGTCTCTCTAGCTTGGGGTCACACTGATTATTTTCCATGCTAAAAAAAGTTGCATGTTGATGCTTATCAGCTAAAAGAGCCGACAATTGGCCTCAGCCTTTTTCAATTTCATCAAAAAAGTTCTGGTGTAATAATGTTTCCTACAAATGAATTTGGACCAGAAAGGATCATTGAATTAATTTACGAAACCCCACCCTGGATGTTCGCTCATGACTTCCTTCATGTGTGTCCCGAATTCTCATGGAATCCCCACTCTGCCTTCTTTAATTGATACCGCTCATCAGACGAGGACCCACATTGTTTGAGGGTTGCCTGTGATATGTATCTTGCCCTGGGAAACTGTAAAGGCAGGTGGTCCTCGTGTTCCCACACAGCTCTTGGTCTTCCCGAAGAATGTTTCATAGAACGTTTCAACTCGGTAAAGCCAAAACCACAGTCATGGAAATAATGTTCATCTTACAAATGCCATTGGACTACCTTAAGTATGTAAGGTTTACAATGACAAGTGAGAAAAAAGAGAATAATGAGGAAGAATATGGGAAACCCAACTCTTTCAAGACAAGTGCTGCCGATCTGCCCCTCCCTCCCCCTCCCCAACTCCAGTTCTCTCTCTGGCTCTTTCAAGCTGTGAGCTTCGCAGGAAATTCCGCCAGTTATGTTAGCATGCACACCAGGCGTAACGTCGATCTGCGTAACCTGAGCGTAACCAAATCAACAAGCGGAGGACACAGCAAAGTTCACGAGAAAACAGCAACATGAAGGTGCTTCGCTATCCCCTCCTTTCCTTACGCGAGACCTTGCTTCTCGTTTTATCAACCAAGTCAGAGTTTCAGGACTTGTTGGACACAATGTGAGCGGCCCAGGATCGGATTGTAACTTTGATTGGTCCGTGGAGTTTATGAATTCATCTCAATGCTGAAGTTTGCTTTTAAGTCTACCCTTTCAATCAGCAATTGTGAAAGTACCAGCATCATAGATGTTACGAGTTTCCAAGAATCGAGACGTACATGTAGGAGGGCCTTCCTTTTCCTGGGCAGTGTGGGATCAAATTAATCATATTCTAAACTATCGGGCCATAGTATCTATGGCAATAGCTGTTATGTAGTTCAATGCAAATTCATATCCATTTTGTTACCAGCTTTCGCTCATATATAATGTTTCATATTGTTGGGCTAAGTTTCTATTGAACGAAACCTCCCACTTACAGAGAAACCTCTTGACTAATCATTATCAATCTTCGGAATGGATTGTGGATGGGATTCATTTCCCGTTTGCAGTGAGTACTGCTGCATGATGGGAGAATCTTGAAAAGGAGAGATTAATGTGTAGTCCCACAAGTAAACATCTTTGTTGGTCTGAATGGAGAATATTGTAACATTGTGTAGATCTCGAGTAGGACATTTTACTGCCACTCTTTAGCTATTTTTTCCTTACAAATTGGTGTGACGGAAGCCAGGGTTATCAGGCATTCTCCTGTAACTCTCCCTTGCATTCAATCAAATAAAAGTCTGGCGGAAATTCTATTTTCCTGCTCTTCAGGATGATTTGAAGCCTAGTCCTTCACATTCTTCTCCAAGTCTCCATTCTTCCTTTTTATCATGAAGTGCTCCTTTCTTTTGCAACATGAAGGGCCCTTTCATGCTGAGAAGAAGACACAGTGCTTCTCTCTGGAGATAATCCCTCTCCGAAGCAGAAGGGGGGTTGCCCCTGCTGTTAGTTGGTCCTTGCTCGGACCCCTAACAGGTCCCCCAAATCTCCATATTGGAGAACTGCTCAAAAGGAAATCCTTAAATCTGAAACCGGCTTTCCTGAGCCTAAGGCTGGATCAAAATAAAAAGTCGAGGGCCACACCCTAATTGTGAAGTTACATGAAGTGGTATGCCTGAATACCTTGCTCTCTGAATGTTACGATTAATTCCTACTTGCTTGGTTACAGCAAGTTTGTTGGGACAGTTTGTTTACACTCTCCGCATTCTTGCGTTAGCTGGGGACCCTCCTGTCAAGTGTTCTCGAAATGTTGCTAAATGTCAGTCTCTTACTTTCATTTCCCCCTTTCATTTCGTGCTAAGTTGCGTGTTCCGTAGGGCGTTACTAAACAAATCCTCTCTCATCAGTGGCAACCGAATGGAGTTTCTTGGGCAAGTTGCCCAGTTGCTGGCAAGCACAAGAATTTCCATTTACAACATTCAGATTCCAAGTCACACAAAGTGTTTCAAATCAGATATCGGAGCCAGAAGGGCTCTACTTTCCATACATGGTTAAATGCCATTTTCACCCTTACATGTATCTTCTCTATATCTTCACCTGTATTATCTGTCTTTCTTTTTATTTACATCTTCTCTCTCCTCTCTCCTCTCTCCTCTCTGTCTCTCTCCCTCTCCCCCCTCTCTCTCTCTCTTTCCCCCTCTACTCTTTTTTCTTCATTTGAAATCCATTTGGGGCGCGTTCATGCTTGATTTTGACGGCCAGAATCAGGCATCTGTTACGCGTTTAGTTTAAAACACGGTTGCGTCTTAGCTCACTTTTGTAGAATCACCGAAAAACGGCGATCACGATCGCCGATCGTAAACTCACAAAAAGATGCGTTTACAATTTGTAAACGCGTTTAAATGGGGTCAACGCACTGACCTCTAGTGGGTCTACGTAGAATGCACAGTGAAGGTTTGCGAATCCAGCTGGAAGACCAATTAAGGCCACACACTGAGAATTGCCTGGGGGAGCCAGAGAAGTAAGCATGAACACTACATCGTGGAACTGCGATCACGATGAGCGTTTACGATGAGCGTTTCAGATCGCTCATTCTGCCTTCAAAATTTAAGCATGAACGCAGCCTTAGAGAACTGACCGAGCAAAACGAAAGGATACGTAGAGATCCACATGTACTCCCCAGACCCATTTTTAGGCCTCTCTCATCCTCTTATTAGGACTAGATCCCCACTGTGTCCTCCACATTCCAGCCCCATTGATTGGATCCTGTTCCTCATTCAGAGGGTATGAAAGGCAGAACAAGACCCAAATAAAGAGGGACTTACAGCCGACGAACAATGTTACAGAATGGTAACAAACGAAAGAAAATTGCGTCTGATGTCACCTTTATTTCGGGATCAGATTTATATTGACCAGAGAGATAGAATAGGCGAGGAAGGAGAAATGAAAAATATAAAACAACGGATAAAGATGGTATTAGAAGAGCAGAAAAGGAAGAGAGAATATTTCGGAGATCTGTAAAGGAATAATGAAAGCTAAATCCATGCCCCCCCCCCTCTCTCTCTCTCTCTCTCTCTCTCTCTCTTTCTCTCTGTTTCTTTCTGCTATCCACTCTCTTACTCTCCCTTACACTGGCTGTTTCTAATTAAAATACAAGACATGAATAGAAGCATGAAACATTCCAACACCGTCTTTCACTTTAACAAAAATCCAGATTTCCCACGGTCCATGGCAATACCAAAGTGCACCCAAACTTGAATTTATTTGTACATACATCTAATTTTTTCCATGGCCTATTGGTTTTTTCATTTAGTCATGGCATGTCAACTTTCATTTTGTCAAAATCTACTCAAGGAATCCAAGTATAGAAAAAATAATTTGCATATCTTTCCTTCTCTCTCTCTCTCTCTCTCTCTCTGTCTATCTCTTTCTCATTCTGTGTTTGGTTTAGCATTCCATTATGAAAAAAAAGTTGCCAAGGAGTTTTTTCTTTTTTTGGGCAATATCTATATATGAATCAAAGTTCAAAACACACCTTTTCTCCAGACTTTGTCTAACCATATTTGCAAGGAACAAAAAGAAAATCACCTTGTTGGCATGATACTAGACTATCAAATGAAGGAATGAATTATTATTTATTTTATTTTGTTCGCAGGACTAGGCAATCACTGGCTAAGCATAGATGATTTGCGTGGGATTCAGGGCATGCGTTTAAAGAAAGACTTTACCACCATTTGTCAAAAGTTACACCTCATTAGACGTCTGGTGTTCGTATCTGTTCAATCTAGTCATTTTCCTCTTTTCTTTTCTCTCTCTTGGGAAGTTTGGGTATTTTTAGGTATTCCTTTCCATAGTTTGTCTGATAGCCTCTCCCTCTTTCTCTGTGTGAATCATGCAAATTAACTACATAAACAGATTACTACTGAATTATGTAATTGATTTAAGGTTTATACAGTGACCACCTGTTCTTGTGCGTAAAGGATTAATTGATAATCTTGTAATGATTATTTCACATTGTTTTAACCTAGCATTACGTTTTTTTATCCTCTCTTTCTCTCTACAGATTATAATTTTGCAATGCAACCCCCATCGTTAATTGCCGCCAGCGGTGTAGCTGCAGCAGCAAACGGACTTAGAATGCACATCCCTAAAGTAATAGATCTACTACATAGGATAACAAAAATCGAAACCGTAAGTACATTTTATTTGTTAAAAACATTTAAAAACATCAAAAGCAACTAGAATTTGTCTTTTATGTAAATTTATGCAAGCATGACTGGATTTATGAGGTTGTCCTTGTACTGGGTTTTTCACCTTGATTAAAGTTTTTTGCACCTTCGACCTTGTGCTTCAAAGGCATTGCAGTCTGTACCTTGTTTGCAGACGTCGCTCAGTTCTTTGGATTAAGTGATCAATCTAAGTCCACGACAGGTCGTTCCAGTAACGCCCCGCTAAATGGTGAAAATCTCCCCCATTAGAGCTAGGGGGAGAGACAAGATGGGACAATTACTATACATTGATGGATTACTGAATAAATATGAAAAGACCAAATTGGAGTGGCCTTGCGATGGTCTCATTATATTTAATTGAATCTTATGTGTGGTATTCATTTTGGGTCACAATATTTCAAGGGGTCAGAACTCAGTCGAGGTTGATTTGGCTTGTAAGTTGTATCGTTTTTTTTTTTAATGAAAGTAGCTTTTGGACTGTGTTTGGTGTGCTTCCACTGGTTCTCTGGTTCCATACAGGACTCTGCATTCAACAGGATAGCACAGACTTTCAAGAAATCAACACGAGGCAATTTTAATAGCCCTGTCTATCATTTGCAACATTACAATGAGATATAACATCATCCACATGATTTCTAATATGTACATGTTAGGCAATCGATATCGAAATTGACCATGAGAGGAATCTCCCAAGTCATTTCAATTGTGTAATTGGATTTGTAATCTTCACCCTCATATACTGAGTCTAGTCAGCCTACTGTCCAAAGCATTAGCAGAATCTAAGAATCTATCTGTATGGTACACATAAAGGGATTAATTAGCCTGATAGTTTCTGTGAGTTTTCAGATTGTTAGGGTTAAAAGCCTGTCTCAAAAAAGGAAGTGTGTACTTAAGAAAAAAACTTGCTTCCACCCCCTTCAAACTCAAACATACCTTGTAGTCCAACAGAAGCTCCCCTAGCAACCTGACATGTCCTAGATAGTCGCAACAAAAGTAAGACCAGGCTCCTTTTCTCTTTTTTCTTCTTGTTGAAGCCCTCCTGAGATAGCTCTTCAAGAATTCCCAGTGGTTACTATGATTTATAAATTTTCTTTGAAGAGAACTGATTATTTTCTGTTAAGATTTCTCTGGAGTCTTATGAAAAGAAAGAAAAATTTAATTTCCTGTTTGGTTTAGTGACTTTAGTCCTGATTGCCTCAACAACTTAGGCAGAGAGGATTTGGGACCTGAAAAGCAGATTTAATCAGGCTGTGTGTTCGAGACTACGTTTTCGGCACAGCCTTCTTAAGCAAACCTTGTCATAAACGCTCAATGAATAGGCCTTAAAACCATCCGCAAACATGGCCCCATTTTTGTGTCAGTTGTCTCTCAGTCTCCACCTCTTTTTTTTTTAGTACCAACTCTCAAAGTACACACTTCCCCCTTTCTTTAGTTTGCAAATTTAGTCACATAATGGATCGGTTTTATTGTCTCCTACTTGTCTAGCTAGCATACCTCTCATTTGATCATTTTCCTTTGATGCCAAACCTGTATGTCTAATTGAACTACAAAAAAAAAGGAACAATTCTTTTTGGAAAGAATGGGAGAGGGTTGGGACTTCGGTCCGATGCACATGCCTTCGTTTTAGTCTTTGTTCAAAGACTTCCTCGGTTTGTTTGTTTTCTAAACATGAGAGAAAAGAGGTGTTTGGACCCTTCGTTTAAAGCGCTGCTCCAAAATTACACTGCCAAATTTAAGACGACCATTTCTTGGATGTAAATGAGACAAGAGTACAGTTCCACCATTGATTATTTCGCCCTCATTAGATCCTAAATTATACATGAAAATCACAAATTTATATTACCATAAAGAACATAAAGCGTTGAATCCAATTTTGCTCCAAGCTTTTCATGAATTCATTATTTTTTTTAATGATAATTAGCTTATAACAATCATCTATTTTTGGAACATATTGCCAATTTGATGATGCAATAAAGAAAGAAAGAAGTATAATGTGTTTTCTAGGTTAATTACACCAATGTAGGAAACAAGATTTAATTTTAATGGCATTTCATTTTTAAGTGTACTTGCAGATCTCGTCTTATGTCATAAAAAGAGATCATTACTGTCAAGTATTATGACATATGAAATCCAAATTAAAAGTAATGAATCATAGTTAATCAATTACTTTACCATACAACAATTTTAAATTCCCAGGGTTCTTTTCAATGACAGATATAAACACTTCATTTCACAAATTGAATTAAAAGAAGACAAAAGATATAAATAGATCATCTATTTATTTTCTTAATTTTTATAAGAAAAGAGCATTTTAAGAATATGTGTCTGATTGATTGTCAACACTATTTCTTTTAAATGGGAATGATTTTAACATATGGTCATTTACAGTGATACAGAGTTGAAGTTGAGGGCATGGAAACAGAAGGCTGTTCACATATGGTGATTTTATGTTTCATTAAGAAGTACCTGGGGAATCATAAGGAGCAGTTTCAGTGGTAATCATTGAGCACTGAATCTTTAGACGTTGAGTCGTCGTAGATCAAGAGTTTCTATCCTGCAAAGCGGTAGAGTAATTGTTCTCCGAGAATGAGCTATGAAAGACCGATCACCATCCAAATGTGAACCTCCCCTATTAGTAAGTTGATTAAGGGGAAACCCCATATATTTTAGAATCTTGTGATGGCTATCATGGCTGGCTTTGGAGTGTCATTTCCTGAAGTGAATCGGTTGTGATCCTCGGCCAAAAATGACTTTCAATTCATCGTTTCGCCTTGCAACGTGATACGGAGAAAAGATAAAAAACAAGTGGTCACCAAGAGTGTGCGATGATTGTCAGTGAGACTTTCGATTTCTGTCCGAGTTTTACTGGAAGTTTCACGTGATTGGAAGATCTGTGCTTTGAAAGGCCATAGGATTTAACATGGGAAATTGACCAGGCACATGCATGGGCCCTTATGGCAAGGCATTAGATCAATTGTGATCAAACGCAATCGGGACGTAGAGGACTTTCAAATTATGGCACCAAATGCGTAATCAAAGCATGACGATGACGTCTTTCCTTCGTTTTTTAATGATTGGAAATGAAAGATGCATATATTTATAGCATTGAGATCTCTGTCAAATGCATCAAAATATGAATGAATCCATTTTTGTGAAGTATGAGGAATAAACACATGGAAATAGAAACAGTGACCTCTCTCTCTCTCTCTCTCTCTCTCTCTCTCTTTCTCTCCACTTCTGACCCATCATTGTGAAGTTGTGTTAGGTGTCCATTGTCAATGCCATTTACATCTTGAACTTGCCCCCAATGTGGTAAAAATTTCTGGAAACGCTGCATGCCACAGAACTAATAAACAAACTTGAGCTACATTGTACGAAGAAATAAAGTGCTATGATTATCATTTGTGGTCTAACACACATTGTATCCTCCTGCCTTTTCTTCCATCATCACACTCGCCCCTCTTCGTCAGGAAAGGGGGGGGGGGGCGGTGAGGAACCCCTAGTCTGTGCCTGGGCATGTTATTAGCACTTTAAAGGAGGGATTAGTTGAGATAAACCTACCTTTATTCTCCACTTGAGCTAAGCTAAGCTGAATAGTTCTAAGCTCTTCAGAGAATTTAATGATTCTTATAAAACATTGGGGTGAGACGATTAAATTGAATCTCATAGAAATGTTCCAGTTTTTCCAAAGCTAAGAATTTGACGGTCAACTTTGCCAAAGATCTGCAACGATTCGGTCGGTATTCATGCGATGGGTATGATTGGTAGAAAACGTCTTGTAACCAGACTACATGTGAACACTTTGTGAACTCTTCTACGATGGCAAATGTCACAAGGGTTGGGTCATGTCTGGCCCTCAGCAGAAAAAGAGACAAACTTTGTCCAAATCTGCGAAATTCCTGAGGCTCGCATACCATTCCTGACCCCCAATATCCCCTTCGAGACCCAATTTCCCAAGATTTTCTCAAGATTTTCTCACTCTATTGATGACAAAAAGAAAAAGGGTGAGTCATCCGCCCTGAAAAGTGGCTAGCAGAAAAGAAACAAATGGTTGACCAAACAAGCTGTGAAGAGGATGCACCCTTTGAGGTTTTGAGTTCCCCTAATCTGTGTGATTAACCTTCCAAAGTCACACCACAAAGAATTGAGTATCAGGGACTAAAGAGGGTCCTCTTGCCAGAAAGAACAAAAAAAATCCTTAGCAGTGCAATGAAAAGAGATACATAATTGGAACTTTCCCTCAACCCTCCCCCAATGAAAAAAGATGAGTAATAAATACAAACAAGAACAAAACAGAACACAGATTGTAAAAAACAACAACAAATAAAGTAACCAAATAAAATGGCTGAATTATGCTGAGTACATTTACAACCCTGGATTTCTATTTCTATCCCGCTGCTGATTTTGTTTATAGAGCGAAAGCATCAAATCCTTGATTACTCATGCGCTTTGTTATTATTTGTCTGCCTTCATGAGACTAATCAAGTCAACAGTCTTCAAATCAACAAAGGGTACTAGACTAGAAGGGCGTCAACTAAGAATTCTTTGTTTTTCCTGGAGTCAACAAATGTAAACCAAGCTGGAAGTGTACCAAGTAAACTTAGAGAAATCGAATCACTTGGTGTCTTGCCAGCTAGAAGATGACATCAATTGACATGGAACAATAGCAGAGAACATAAATATGCATAGAATAAATAAACAGTGAAAAGATGTCTTTTTATTTATTCAAATAAGTTGAAGCACTCGTGAAAATGGGAGGTTGTGATTGTGGTCGCAACTTGCAAGCCAACTCCTTTTTGGCACATTGTTTGTTTGTTGATACTTCTTTACAATGAGTATTTACTTGTTTCTCTGTTAATGTTTGATTGAAGCAATTATGTACTGAATACAATATATCTTATAAATACAAAATCTTATAAATACAAATCTCTGTGGATTTGATTCATGTGGAGAGTTACGGCA